TCTGCTTGGTACCTCCGTGGTACCGAGCAGAATAGAAAATCAGTGAAAAAAGCTGGAAAAAATAGAACTTTAAAAAAAAAAATGTAAATAAATGATAAATTTTAAAACATAAATAAAGATTTATTTAAAAAAGAAAAAAAAACAATTGGGCGGAGCTAGCAGTGACAGCTAGTTCCGCCCAACTGTTTCCTATTGGCCGGGACCTGCTAGAGTCTTCTAGAAGGTCCCGGCCAATGAATAATAACGGGGCCGGCTCCCCCCAGTTGTCATTGTTTAATGACAGTTAAGCGTCCCCGGATAACCTCGGGACACTGATCTGTGCCTTAAGCTCGGCTGAGCCGCTCGGCCACCTTTGGGAGCTATACAGGCTATAGTGAATAGTCCGTACAGCAGCCCGTTGGTTCGGCGGCCGAAGCTAGCCGAAGGATCAGCCGGAGGTGCGGCTGATCCTTTGGCTAGCTTTGTGAATAACCCTCTTAGTAGCAGAGATTGGTCACCAAGAAGGGAGGCAGCAGAGATACAGATGGTTATAGCACCAAGCTGAAGGCGATTTGCATAGTCAGCAGTTATGCAAAATGGGAATTTATGAATGTGTTTGCAACAAAAAAAAATGTTCACAAAAAACAAAATGTCATGCTATCTAAAAGTTTTATCTCTGTTATGTGTCTTTTTTAAAATGTTCTTGCACCATACTCATGTTTGTGACTCACTGTTCACATTTTGCAACATTTTGCATAATATCTCAACTGGGCAGTCAGTAAATCCAGCATTTGTGAAATTAAAAGACCTCCAAACTGTTGTACATTCTAGAAGTCCTCCTCAGCACTTCTTAAAGTATGGCAAAGATAATTTAGCTTCATCCCCTCAAGCCAGCTAAGTACTTTAGGCCTATTCAGCTGTCCTCCAGGAGATTCCTTGCAGGTTTGTGACAATTTAGAGACAATTTGGAGGCAGTTCGCCTTATGAAGACATTTAGGAATAAAACATAAACTAGGATAATAAATCTGTTGCTATATGCACCAGAAATCAGGGATGTGACAATTTAAAAGGCACCAAGGATGCGACAAAATTGATAAATGTCCCCCAATGACTGTTAGATCTCATTAGTTCTTTACAATTCTTCAGTGCCCGAAGTTTAACTTTAAAACCATCTCATACTCTTCAGGTTAGAGGCCATTTTATTTCTCTTGTTTTCTTGTTTTTTTTTTAGCAATTTGGGGAAAGCCACTTTAATCTAATGAGTATTCATAAATGTCAACATATCTCTTCCTTTAATTTAGTATTATGGTCACCCCACTTTGCCCCTCTGAAAAATGCCCCAGCTCCTGAAGGCTTAGTAAACACTGTTTAGTTCTATAATAAAAATAATATATTGCTGTACTACATTTTCTGTTGTATGGAAAACACAGGTACGCATACTAAAATGAAACTTGATGACATGCCCTAAAATTGAAATGGAAGACATGCCCAGGCATTAAAAAATCACAAAGCAGATTCTGCCTAATCTGAAATAACAAAATAAATCTCTGCAATGTTTTGTGTACAATAAGAGCAAAATCTTGTTATAATACCCGCTAAAACCTCCTGTCAATAAAAGTTGAATTAGTTCTAACTATGCGCTCTTCCAAACCTAAAAACTATGAATATTTAACAAGTCAGCCTCCGAGTGGCGAACAAGAGAAAGGTGACTATAATTGTAGATTTACATCATTAAACATAATCTGATTCTGAGGATTCGGCTGAAATTGTAAATGAGTGTCTGCCAATTACGGGTCGGACAAAATAACCTGTTTTATCTTCAAACGAATTATTCCGGGAGCACGTAGACTGCATGGTAATCAAGTGCTTACTCTAATTATGAATTAGATTTAATAAGAAGCGTTACAGCATTACAACACAAATAATTCAAGTCATATTGGTGGAAACATACCCGGAAAATGAATGCACTCATCAATAGATAACTGTGTTTTATAATACATCACAGCATATTGAAAGTGGATTATTTTTTATAGGATTTATTTGGTATTTGTATGGACAGTCTCCCCCATGTAATAACTTCTTTTGTGTTCCCTTTGCAGCAGCCACAGATTTATTTCAACAGGATGCCGAGTTGTGTAACTCATCAATACTCAAATGATCAATCTCCCAAATGATCTGTCCATAAAAGACTGAATTTTGATTATGTTACTATTATGCAAATCTCATCGGGATTATCAAACATACACTTATTATATTTCACATAGTGAGTCACTTGGAAATATACAATACATGGGATGATCCCAGGCAGGACTGACAGGGTTAATCACAAAAGGGTGAAGAGTTTGGAGAAGACAGGAGAAGTGAACAATCTAAGCCAAAGTAGCTGATGTGGAAAAATTCTCCAATTCAGCTCACTTTCCAGTTCAGCTATGTTGTCCTAGATTGTTCACTTCTCCTGCCTTCTCCAAACTCTTCACCATTTTGTAAATAACCCTATTAGTGTCTGGTGTTCCCTAAAAGTACTGCTGTGTTAGTGCTACCTTATAAAGGAAATTCCTAGGAAAACTGAAACTCCTACTTATCTATGATCCTTACTAATGTTCCTGGTTGTACTTCCATTTGGAGCCATACCTTACAGTGCTAGTCATGAAGCTGATCAAGGTTAGGTAAGTATAACTGTTGTGTGGGAGTGGGACCAGGAGACAGTTTTTTTTATGGGTGTATTTATAAAACATTCACAAAGCCATTCACTCTGCCCACATCTGGAACACTCATAATCTCCTTAGCTCCATCTAGTGGTCCTAATGTGGCACAAATGTAAAAGCCAGATGTTCACAAAGTTAATAGCTCTGTAAGGCTCCACTCCCATATGAGCGGTTTTCTGCGCGTATTTGGCCCTGCGAATATACGCATGGAATCGCTCTAAACATAAAAAACAATGCATTTTAATGTGCATTGTTCAGACCATTGCGGGGACCGCGTGGTACAAAACCATGCATCCCGCAAAATAGTCCAAGTGCAATTTCAGGGGTGGATTACACACATTTGTGGCTATAGTAGTAGCCACAAATTAGCGGAATCCATGCAGTTGTAAAGATTTTAGCGTTTTCATGTCATGTGGTCTTCCGCACGGAAAATCACACAGGAAAAGCAAATGCTACATGTGAATGGAGGCTAAAGATTGTATAAACAAAAGTGTTACTTCAACCTTGATGAGTTGGGGCTAATCTCTATGGCAGTTTGTAATTTTATGATAGGGCTGTATTCACCCGAAAAAATGCATGGAGTATGACAGGCATGATCCTTAGAAAAGTTTGAATTTTCCTTTTTGTTTGGAAATCCTATTTCAAAATAAAACAAAGTTACCACAGAGAGCATCACACGTGAATTATTTTCTGCACAGCTGCCATGTTTGAATAGAATGCAGGATATTTGCCAAACAAATTTCTATATCTCCCATCTGTCTAGGAGAGAAAAGTGGGACACCTTTCAGTGAAAAACAATTAGACAAAGGACATCCAATATTAATATGTAACAAAAAATCTGAAGTGTTTTTTTTTTTTATTTGATGCCTGCCATAGGTAACTGCACTGAATTTCCTTTTTGCTTCAAAATTATCAACACAAAAATCTCAACTTCCCATGGTCTGATAGGTTCATTATTAGATTGATAGGACAGATTAGAACTGCCTTTTTCCTATCAATTAATGAAAATATAAACACCTTTCTCTCAGTAAAGGTGCCCATACACCTTACAACCATTGCACAACTTTCATCCTGCAATGGTTGTAAGGTAATTAAAAGCTCATATGATCTGCCCATCTTGGACAGGCAGATCGTACTTACGATCATCCCAAGCCATCCCGGCTGAGGGGAGGGCTTCCAATGATTCCAATGCTGAGCGGGCAGTGTGCGCTTGCGCACACCGACCCGTGCGGCATTTGTCTCCCGAGAACGCCACTGATCCGGCGAAAATTGTATGATTCTCGGCGGGTTTTCAAGCTTGCTCGGGAGACAAAATACGTGCGACCGTACAGTAGAAACGGTTGCACGCCTTCCATACACCTGCCGATTATTGTACGATCGGGGGATCACCCGCCATTATCGTACGATAATCGGCAGGTGTATTGGGCACCTTTACACACATGTCCTGTCAAAACAATCCCTTTTAAGCTCTATGTTGGATCACCTGCCTGCTGCTAATGGTCATACAGATTGGATTCCGCGGGGTTGATTTACAAAAGACCAATAGGCTGTTCACTTTACAGGGGAATTTTCACTTAGCGTAGTGAATGTGGAGAAAATTCAGTTTGCAAAGAATACCCAATCACAAGCATGGAAAAAAAATAGCATTTATACTTGCACATGATTGGATGATGGAAGCCCTCAAGAGCTTTACCTCCTTTACTAAACTAAGGACAATGTGCTTGCAAAGTGAACAGCCTATTCACCTTTAGTAAAGCAACCCTAATGCATGAGGGAGCCTAAACTTTGGTATTGCGTAGGTATGATATCTTTTAAGAAGGTTTTAAAACAAAAAGATTTTAAAAGAAAAACAAGGAAGTAACAGCATGAGGATTGCAAGAATGGGTTTGCTGAAGGCGAGGAAAACAGATTGTTTTTATTGTTCACAGAATTCTAATGCAGAGGGGTTGATTTACTAAAGGCAAATAGGCTGTTCATTTAACAAGGCAATTTGACATTAGTTTAGTGAATGAGGGGAAGCTCTGTTGACTTCTATCACCCAATAATGTTCAAGAAGAAAATGATTTTTTTTTAAATGTTCCTTGCACATGATTGGGTATTCTTTACAAAGTGAAGTTTCACCTCATTCACTAAGCTAAGGGAAACTTCCCCTGCAAAGTGCAAATTACTTTGTAAAATGAACAGCCTATTTGCCTCTAGTAAATCAACCGCAGACCATCAGTGTTGTTTTTTTACTTCATTATAGTTTATCTAAGCATCAACCTGAGACATGTTGTTTATTCCATCACTTATAAATGATAACACATTTTAAATTACCTTTCCAAATACACCAACCCGCGTCTTGTCTATGTATTGTTCTTTTAATATTGTACTGGAAGAGAAAGAAATCAGGAGTTTTGTTAAGAAAGGAACACATTGATACATAACTGTTATGACATATTCATCTATTTATATTTTATTAGAATAAAGTGGGTTCTGGTGTAGGTATTATGAGCCTAGGATATACGCTCCATTTTCTGGGGGTTTTAGATGGAGAAATAAGCTCTCTAGTTATAGGTGATATACAAGTTGAAAGTATTTTAGCATTAAAATCACTTGAAATGGGTTCCTCAAAAACACAACACGCATATCTAATCTAGTATGAATGCATACCAGATTAGATTTAAAATGTAAGTAAACCCTAACAATTCATTTTTCTTACTTGCTCCTGCAAAATGTTGCAATGCGCTGCAACACATATGGGGTCTATTCACGAAGCAGCCAAAGGATCTAGCCGTAGCTCCGGCCGATCCTTCAGCTAGCTTCAGCCCCAGGACCCCTTCGGTTCAGTAGAACCAAAGGGCTGCTGTACGGGCTATTCACTATAGCCCGTACAGCTCCCGAACTTGGCCGAGCGGCTCAGTCGAGCCGAACGCATATGCCTCGGCTCGGC